CACATGTACACGCGCGCACATATGTCACAACTGTCAACAAAGTTACATTCGTATGTACTTGACCGGAAAAAAAACTCCGGTTGGAAAACTATTCTTTTAAATCGTTTGTATTTCATATGAAGAAAAGAATTTTGAAGTGCAATTGAAAATATTTGTGAGTCATTCTATTACTTATAATTAATTGTTATTTTTGGACCATGTGTTTAGCCGGAAATAATGACCAGGGTTAAATTAAACAAAGGTTCGGTATGGTATCGTTTGTATTTCGTATGAAGAGTTATGAAGTATCATTAAAGAGATTTGTGAATTATCCAGATAATTTTATTTAAATATTAAAAAATCATGTATTTGGCCGAAATATTGATCTCAAGCGCTGCTGTGGAAGTACCGTCGGGCACAATCGGTGTCTAGTATTTCAATACTCCTGGTTCTTTTTTGGGTAATTACGTACAATAAGGCCTCTTTCGAATTTTGATATTTTCTTGCAGCTCTTTTGGTAAAAATATTCATTTTGACTCCAACATTGATAATCAATCGGAGAAGTCCAAAAAATATGCAAGTTATATATTGTTTTAATTTTTTTTTAATTTTTTTTTCACTTGTCAAACGTTGCTGCTTTCCCACAATTTAAACAAGTTACTGATCTTTTAATCTCATTATGTAACTGCAATATCGAACTACTAGCGGGGGGCTGCGCCCCCCGCACCCCCTCTCAAAACTAACCTCACCAAACCTATCGTTACATTAGCCGTTAGTCATTGTTTATTAAAAAATTATTAAGAAAAAAAGTTGAACACTAATATACGAATATACTATTTCATACGAAATACAAACGATACCATACCAAACCTTTGTTTAATTTACTTCCGGTCATTATTTCCGGTTAAATACATGGTTCAAAAAAGAACAATTAATTACAAGTAATAGAATGACTCACAAATCTTTTTAATTGCACTTCAAAACTCTTCATACGAAATACAAACGATTTAAAGGAATAGTTTTCCAACCGGAGTTTTTTTTTCCGGTCAAGTACATACGAATCAAAGTTACGCCACTAACAGACTTAGGGCCCTCACACATGAAATGACATAACTGCATGTGCATAGCATAAGACTGTATGGACCAATGAGCATCGAATATTTAGCCGCCATATTGATGCTTGATGCTCAATACTCGATGCTCATTGGTCCATACAGTCTTAGGACCTGAACACAGACTTTTGCATAACGCATAATGCATAACACATAAGAAAATCAATCAATCATATCAACACAAATTGACATAACTGCATATGCATAGCATAAGACCGTATGTACCAATGAGCATCGAGTATTAAGTCGCCATATTGGTGTTCGATGCTTAATATTCGATGCTCATTGGTACATACGGTGCTATGCATATGCAGTTATGTCAATTTGTGTGCGATAGCCCTCAGAGTCATTCATTTCTATCCTGGAGAGGGAAATAAAGGTCTCTGGTTGATTCCCTTATGTGTTATGCGTTATGCAAAAGTCTGTGCTCAGGCCCTTATGCTATGCACATGCAGTTGTCATTTCATGTGTGAGGGCCCTTACTACCTTTGACTATATAACCATGGACCGCTAGCCGCTATCGTATGGGGAGCGGTGCACTTGGACACGGTGCATTTGGACACAGCCAATCACAGCACCGTGTGATTAGAGACATTTGTAGGGTCCCTTGGAATAGCGACTTGTGATTGGACTGTGTCCAATTGCCCCGTGTCCAACTGATAGCGAATTCGGTAGCTTGCACTAGTGCGCACTGAGTGCGCATTAAGGCTTGTTTACAGTACATTCTTATATTTAAGATCGTGTCTTAAATACATATTTAAAAACATTTTAACTAATAAAATGATTCGTACGGATGTTATACATATCATATTATGGTTAAAAATATTTGAGAATTTATTTGAGAATTATTTAAGACAATCTTTAAATATAATAACATACTATGAACAAGCCTTAG